AACTTCCCACTTCACTATATGTTTCCTAAAGTTTCTCAGCGATACTTTTATTTTCGCAAGTGTCACCTGTACAACTGAAATGTTCTTGCAGTAACACATTATGGATGCCATTTATTAAACTGCAAGATCTTACTACTTTGAGCCATACAATATAGAGCGTACGAGATTCTTCAATTCAAGGGCATTTATGCACTCCCCCGTTCCTGAGGTGGATGGTGCAACCTTTCTGGGCAGCGAAGCAGCAGTTGCACACGCCCGGCAGATGCTTGGTGCCCGTTGAGTTGCAGGTCATGTACTCGAAATCCAGGCAGTACATGGGGCAAAACCTCGCCCTCGCCCGCCATGCCCATGCCTCCGTGGTTTGGATGGAGCAGCCGATGACCATGAGCCCTGCAATATTCAGAAAAAGAACGTCGATGAGGCCATTCATGAAGGAGACCGAGAAAGTGTTGGAGAAAGAGGAGAGAGGGCTATAGGGACAGCTACCACACAGAAGGAGAGCCGGAGCAGGTTTGAGGTAAGCCATGTCGTGTACCTTCTGTGCATGTAGTCTCTCCGCAAGAGTGAAGCTTATTATACTGGGAGCTTGGTCATGTGAAGTTGTTTGGGATGTGGCCTTAACTTCTTAAGTAAACAAAGTATACCTTTGACTGTTTTTTTTTTTTTTTTGACATTGCATATAGTGTATCTTCGCAGAACTTCACCTTTTGACTTTGCAAAAAGCATGCAGGCACTAAGCAGTGATCCCTACTCAAGAGTGTGCATGAGACCATGATGCGTAACAGATTGTTGACTGGCAGCTCAGCCTCAGCTCCAGTCCTAAATCGAACCGAGGACTGACACAGTTGGATTGTGTGAAGTTCAGTTCACAAGCTCCAGTATCGAATCCGATCATTGCTTTGAGAAAAAAAAACGGCAGTGCTACTCGTCCGGACGTTGCATGTGTTCGGATGTCCCCGCTACTATAACACCCTAAAAATTACATGATTTTAAAATAGAAGAAAATAATTTAATTATACGTTTCGTGAGCATGCAAATTTAGAAAAATAAGAACTTTGTTAAAATTAAAATCAAATATAAGGTCTACATACATGTATGTGCATTCATGCTGCTGCATGGTATTTTTTTTTGCATTGTGTGATTTAAAATCAAACTTCAAATTGAGTTGAATTTGTATTTGAAAACTGAGTTTGAAAAATTAGAACAAAAAAAAGAAAGCTCTCTCTCTCTCTCTTCCCCTTTCGGCCTGTGTGGCCCAGCTGCTCGGCCTCATCTCTCCGGCAGCCCGCTCGCACTCCCGCCTTTCCCCGCTTCGCCGCGGCCCGCCTCACTCCTTTTCCCCATGGCCCAGCCCAGCGCAAGCCGCGCCGTCCCGCGCTCTCTCGCCTCTCGCTGACGCGCCGAGCCGGACACCGAGCTCGTCTCCGCCTCCGCTACGCCGCGCCTGGCGTGACCCGTAAGCCAGCCACGCTCTTAAATAGTGCCCCTACGTTGCGCCGCTCTCACCTAACCCTAAAGCGCCAGCCGCCGCCCTCGCATTGCTCCAGCCGCTGCAACCCTAAGAGCGCTGCCGTCGCCGTCCGCCCCGTGGAGCCGCACATCGTCGCAGACCCGCCCTCATCCGCGTAAAGCTCCTAGGTGAGTTTGCCGTCATCCCCTGTCTCTCCCCGTGTCCGTTGATGGCCGGAATCATCGTATCGACGAACTCCGGCGAGGTCCGGACGAGTCCGGCAATGGCGCCACCGCCTATCTCGCCGCCGGCGCTCTCTCTCCGCCTCCCATCTGATCTGCACCGTCCAATCTTGATCCGACGGCTCAGATCCAACCGTTCCCCTTCGCTGCGATTTTTGCAAAAGAGACCCTTGGTTTCAGCCAAATAGAACCCGTCATCCCTGGCTCAGTTTAAAATCCGATTTTATTAATTTAAATTCTAAAATCAAGTTTCATCTATTTATAGTTTTGTCACTAATCTTGTTTTAGTTATAGAATCTTCGTTTTAACTCCGATTTGGTCCGTTCAAGTTGCGTTAGGTTCATAATTATGTAATATACATGTTCATACTACTGTTAAATATGTTTTCAACTTTTAAAATTTAAGGTTAGATTTAATCTATTATTTTATTAAAGGAAATTTTGTTTAATTCGCAACATCTCCGATTTTTGTGATCTTCGCGTCTGTGTGTTCATAGCGAGATGTAGATTCGTTTTACAAACTTTTCATCTTGACTTTATGATGATTGGTGTACTGTTCTAATCTATAGCTTTTGTTAGCTATGCATGATTGCTTCTGGATGCTTGTATGTTGCTGTAAATATCGAGTATAGACGGTGAGCAATTCATGGGTGATCAAGAGTACTACTTTGATGAGCAGGAACCTCAGGAGCACTTTGTTCAAGCCAAGTATAGCATGGGATCATACTTGTTTCTTATCAACTTTAATATATTTAATTCATATTGCATGTGTCACCTCGATAGGAATTCCCTAGAATTAAACTTATACCTTGTCTCCTATGGGATATGTATTGGGTAGCTTTGCTAGTGCTCAACTAAACCATGATCTTGTAATTTGACTAATGGTATATGCAATAAACATTAAAATATGACTTTTTTAACAACTTGAAAACAGGGGATTAGAGTATTTAGCTACTTTCTAAATACTTTAGATTTCTCTCCCTAAGAACTTATCTATAAGTGATCATTCGAGACTTACAGTACAACTGTGAGAGCTATATGGCTCTGGCTTTAGCTCAGTATGAGGACCTTTTCTAGCTTGTTAGAGGTTACCTTTATTGGCGTAAGAATGGCTTGCCAAATCGGGTATAGGACAACCTCTACTCCTATGTGTATAGCCGTGATGAAATTGTGCCATTCGATAGGGGTTCCTATATCTGTTTGCCGAGTGAATCTAGTGGCCCTAACTTGTTAAACGAACCTTTGAAAGGCTTCATAGTGAACCCTGTCTGCTCACCTTGGAAGTGTTTTAGGAGTAATTAACCCAGGCATATAGGTATCATGACACAGTGAAAGTGTACAACCTCTGCAGAGTGTAAAACTGGTATATCAGTCGTGCTCACGGTCACGAGCGGCCTTAAAACCCTTATGGAATAGATGATCACTAAGAATTATCTGTTTATGCTATTCGTTATTCATGTTTACATTGATCATGTGTTTGTTATGAGATTAAAATAACTTATTGCTACTCTTATGCTAAAATTGTCACAATTAAAAGCTGAATATTGTTAAATCTGTGTTAAGCCTTTTGAGCCTCATGAACCCCATGTTACACTTGTTGAGTACGACACGTACTTCCGCTTGTTTATTTTCATTATTTGGATAAAAATCCCGGATGGGTAACAGATGGCTATGGTAATAACGACTTTCCTGAGGATTACTAGACTTGTGGTCAACCAATTGACGTCCCTGTGATATGGAGCTTCCGCGAGTGATTTTTCTTTATACTTTCGCTACATTTATGTGAAGACTCTGTCTTATTATTCGTGATGTAATAAAAACTTGTGATGGTACTATTCATAATTTATTGGCTTATGTGTGTGACTGATCTCTGGACGCACATAAGATTTAGCATCCCATTTTATCCTTAAAATCGGGTGTGGCAGCTACAGTCCCGTTTCCCGCGCTCGGACCAGCGCGCCCCCGCCTGAACCTGCATTTCGCCCGCCCACACGGGGCCAACGTCACCCGGATGACGCCCGTGCTATCAGACCACGCGCAAGGACCGTTCGCGCCCCTCTGCTTCTCACGTGCATTGCAACATGTGCAACACCCGATCTATTTTTGCAACATCAAGATTAAACACTTGCAACATACGTCTGAAACAACCGTAACACTAGCAACATACGTCTGAAACACTTGCAAAACACCAGAAAAAACTTGAAAACACGTGTGTAGCCATTGCAAACATATGCAAACATCAAGATGAAACACTTGCAACATACGTATGAAAACACCTGAAACACTTGCATATATATGTAACATCCTGATCTAGTTTTGTAACATCCCGATCTAGTTTTGCAACATCTAAATGATACTCGCAAAAATAAACATTTAAATGAAGCACTTACAACATACGTCTGAAACAGATGAAACATTGAACATACACTTAAAACATACGTGTATAGCCCATTGCAACATGTACAACATCCTTATAAAACACTTGCAACATATTTTTAAAACATCTATAACATTTGAAATGTGTATTTGCAGCATGCATCATATGTCGATGCGGCTTCCCTTTCTGTACTTTGATTTCTGTGTGCAGAAATGCTATTTCTAGTCCGTCTACGCGGCCTCCCGTTTTGTACTTTGATTTGATTGACAGGGAAACGGAGAGACAAAATATAAGTTCGTGGCATAAGTTCAAACCATCGTTTTTCACAAATCGTAAACAGTGAACTGAGAAAATTGTCTACTTCGCCGCTTGCCCAAGTGCACAATGCCATCAAACGTCACCAAGAGTCTGGAGAGGACAGAATGAGAAGCGAGCAACATCCGTGAAGGAAGTGTTAAGTGAAGTGAGAGAATAATGTGGTCGATGCCGCCGTGATGCGTCACTGTCTTGTGTTACCGGTTAGGCTGGGAACAACTCTAAAAAAAAAGTCAGTGCATCCTCAGATCGATCTAGCGACCTTTATTCGAGTGCGTTCTTTTGATTGTGTGAACCACATAACCAATCTGCTAATGGAAAGCCGTCTTGACGGGTGGGCTCCATGAGTAGAATTTTGAACTCTGGACAGTAGTTGAGAAGCTAGACAGATTCTATTGCGACATGCATCAATGCATGCATGAATGCACTCATCTGATCTTGTCGATCAGCCTCGTTCACCCCAAAACACCTAGCTGCCCAAGCCCAATGCAATGACCAGAGCTAGCATTATTCAGCTCGTTTCAGTAGAATTATTATTATTCGACAGGGTACATCAGCTTGAAGCATTATTGGTTCGACTCTACTCGAAGACGTACTGATCGGTCAGCTTGGGCTAGCTATTCCTTCTTCTTCTTCTTGTCGCTGCAGTTGTAAGTGGAGCCGGACTGGAGGTGGAGCACGCAGTTCCGGCCGTTCTTGGGCGCGCAGACGCAGGCGCACCCGTCCAGCTTCTGGTACGGGTAGTTGTCGCAGGTGATGTACCCGCCCTGGATGCACCGGACCGTCGAGCAGTCCGCCGCCATGACTCCTCCCATCTCGCCGGACACGACGAGCGCTGAACGTACCAACAATCGATCGATTCACAGGTCAGAACGTACACTCCTTCAAAATAAAGGTCCAAGAAACTTGATGATGGAACATGGAGCCGAGCATATATACCGGAGAGGAGGAGGACGAAGGTGAGGGAGAGCTTCATGGAGGCAGTCGCCATGGTTGTCCCGTGGCCCGTGTGAACTGAATTGCGAGAAAGATCGATGCACGGCCGGGGTTTTTCTGTAACCAAGGTGGAGGTTTGTTTTTTTTGAACCATAGTTGCAGAGTGCAGACCAACTTGGCAGTTGGCACCACTTTATATTACCAGACGGCGTATGCACGGCCGGCGTCTTTCTGTCCGGATACGCCGCTTCCTCTCACTCGCGTATCCGTACCTGACGCAGCTTTCGCCGTTGACAATGACAAAAGAGATGAGATGGACCATGCGTGTCTTGCCATTTTCTGCGTAATTTTTATGTCGTCGAGTTGCCTCTTTGGGCATGCCCAGCTCAGCTCAGAGTTGGCATCAGCATGTCTGCATGTGGTACATTCTCGAGTTCCGGCCGGTCAATAGGGCTGGGATCCGTTAAACTAGCATATCCTGCGTGCGATGCGACTGCTTTATTTTGCTGCCAATGTAGACCACTCGGATCGGTCAAAGTGCCGAGTCCACAATTTTACACTGAATCTGGTGAACATGGTACTGTTTCAGTGTTTCGGGCATTGACATTCGGCTAATGACCATCCACGCAAGTTGCATTGCTGCCCTGCCTAGATGCGCAGCCTGAGCTCGTGCCACAAGGACAGGGCATGGGTCGGGATTCGGGAACATGAACATGCACAGTGCGTGAGGAGAAGAGAGTAAACTGGTTTGGTCAGAAGTCAGAACGATCATCAAGCACATGCTCCTGAAACTTCTGAGAAGTGCACATACAGTATACATGCATGTATGTACCACTATGGCAAAATATTTGTCGCAAAATCTGCGATACAAAATCACCCCCCCCTAAAATCCACATGAATGAATATTGCCATCTTTCATGTACATTTTTGTACATTGAATTTTAAACATTAACATTTGCAAAAACGTACATCCATATATGCAAATGGATGTGTACCGTTTCAAAAAAAAATCTAAAACTTCTACATAGTGTTTAAATGGGGGTTTTCTTTTTTTTTAAAAAAAAGTCGACGGGGAGTGGGGGGTGGGGTAGGATCCCCCTACATTGGTTCATACTTAAACGCACAAAGCAACATAGTCTAAAAACATATAATGAGGTGAAGCTAATGGGGTTTTCACAATTGTAGAGAAGTGGTGGTTTGTATCGAATATTTTAATTTCTCGCTATTGTCATGCGTGACATCACGTCTCACCTTTTGCATTGCATCGAAGCAAGCAGCACACTTTGTTTTGGACTTCTTTTCTCTCCTTGTTTGAAACAAAACAAAACAAGACGAGGCCGCAAAATAAGAATCCAATGCAGTGGATGAAATTGAATACTAGCAAATACTAGTTCGTATTTGGTTACTCAGAACCTTAATTATCCCGGGGAAGGAAATTTACAGCATTCCATCTTACTATTACTAATTAGAGGCCCTAACTGAGCCTCCACGTTAATTCTCATCAGACGCGTTAGGAAAAAGATAAATACTAAAAATCCTCACGTTAATCAGAAACATCTGGCCATCAAATCTATAGGCACTAACGTCTGTAACCATTAGATCTATTTTGTAGAAAAAGTCTACATAACCTCAACTATTAAGGGTGGACTACTTTACCTCCAAACTATAAAATCGGATTTTCTACCCCCTGAGCTTTCCAAAACCGGTCAAATAACCCCAAGCGGTTTTGGACGGTGGTTTTGTTACAGTGACGGTGGCTTTGTCTTTTTCTTTTTTATTTATTTTCGCTGAATCTTTGAAAAATTATAGTAAATCACAGAAAAATCATAAAATGAAAAATCCAATTTTGTTGAACTCCGCATGATTTGATCTATACAGTGAACATATAATATGGTATGCTTTAGTATAAAGTTTTTTATGTAGCTTTAGATATATGTTTTCTGTAATTAATTGGAATAATTTATAGCTGCAACTTCTATGGTCTATGGTGGGCTAATTATTGTATGCTTAAACTATAGTAAAAATTCCATACTCATTGAATCACTGATAAAAATTTCACCACAATTAGACCGTAGAAGTTGCAGCTATGAATTATTCCAATTAATTATAGAAAAACATAGATCTAAAGCTACATCAAAAACTTTGTACTAAAGCATACCATATTATATGTTTACTGTGTAGATTTACTCATGTGGAGTCCAACAAAATTGGATTTTCTATTTTATGATTTTTCTATGATTTACTATGTTTTTTCAAAGATTCAGCGGAAATAAATAAAAAAGAAAAAGACAAAACCACCATAACTGTAGCAAAACCACCATCCAAAACCGTTTGGGGTTATTTGACCGGTTTTGAAAAGCTTAGGGGTAGAAAATTCGGTTTTATAGTTCGTGGGTGAAGTAGTCCACCCTTAATAGTTAGGGGGTTATATAGACTTTTTCCTCTATTATATATTTTAGAAACTTACCCACCTCTGCCATTATTATACATAGATAAAAAGAAGAACTATTATTAATTGGAGGCCTCAACGGAGCATCCACGTTAATTCTCACCCGACGCGCTAGGAAAAAAGATAAATTTAAAAATTCTTACATTAATCAGAAACATCTCGCCATCAAATATATAGGCTCTAACGTATGTAACCATTAGATCTATTTTATATTTTAGAAAATTACCCACCTCTTCCATTATTATATATAGATAAAAAGAAGAAAAAGTAAAGCCATTATTTTAGAACCTCTACGTACAATGAAAAGAAGATAAATAGAAGAAAAAAATCCATTATTTTAGAATCTCTACATAGGAAAAATAAAATCCATTGACGGGCCAGCCGCAAGGGCGTCGCGGAGGATCGGTTGCACAGCTGCAAACAAAAACAGCTTAAAGTATAGACATCGAGAAAATCTAACAACTCCTAAACAAGATGACAATTTTTCATCAAGCACGTGAGCATATCCATGGAGAAAGCAGCGTCCGGTCATGCACCGACCACCAACCTTTGAGCCAGCTGCATTCAGGGGACGGAAGGATGGGCGTGGGCTAACATATATCACGGGGACGAAAGGATATGATGGGCGTGAGCGGGTGTTCGTCATCAACGCCGTCGCCATCTACACTTCATCCATGTCTGGAGAAGATTGACGGGGAGGCCAGCTCAACATGGTGCTAAGAAGCGGCTCATCTACGTCAAGCAAGAAAACAAGATGGGTGGCTCAGGAACACGCAGGCCGCTGGTGCCATGACGGCACGACGTCTTGCGTCCACGGCTTCTATATCAACGCTGGCACCACCTGCGCCTGCAGACTAAACGTATGGCCATCTAGCTTGCTAGATTCTATAACTACAATTTAATTTCTCTCATGTGATGCACTAAGTTTCGCCATCTTGCTAGAACCCAGAATTACAATTTAGTTTGTCCCCTACGATGTACCAATTTTATAGTAAAACTTTAAGTGAGATTAGACCAAGAAAAGAATTTTTAAAAACCAAAGAAAGAGTGACTAGAGTATGGGATGCAATCTTTCTTTGTGGCGAACAAACAAGTCATGGCATGATCCTTATTGACCATTAGGTATAATTTTCTTTTTAATTTTAATGTTCTTGAATTAATTCAAACAAATAAGTCTTAAAATAATCCTTATCGACCATCAGGTATAATTTTTTTCACTTGAATAATAATCTCATTGGGTTATAATGTTTTGGCATGGTTAGTAAAACTTTAAGTGGGATTGGACCTTGAAAAGAATTTTGAAAAAATCAAAGCAAGAGTCACTAAAGTATAGGACGCAATCTTACTTGATTGTGGCAAACAAATAAGTCATGATAATTTTCATTACGGATAATTTTCATTTTAATTTTAATGTCCATGGATGTAACACCCTCGGTGTTACACAGTGAATCACTTGCTAAAACATGTCATGAGCATCATACTTAAGTGATATTGCATGTGGTGTGATGGATAGGTAAAGCATTGTAACTTAAACGAGTCGTAAAAACATAAAACGAAAAGTTACTTCACGATTTATAAAGTTAGCAAGTAGAGATGTTAACTAATTTTTATTGAACAAAAACGCTATAAAACATATATGTGACACCTTAATAAAATTTGAAGTACACATTTTGTAGAAGATAGTGCAACTTTTGTTTTAACAAGATAATAATGCTAGCTAACATTTCTAATAGCTTCGAAATCGAATTTGAAGCAAATCCAACTCAAGACTTAGTCAATTTCTTAAGTCTGAAAATAGTTTGACAAAACTATGTTTGGTAATTTATTCTGTAAAATTTGAGTTTAGGAGTAGTGTCGTTCTTTAGCTCTTGTTGATAGCCTAAGGTGCCCTCTTTAGAGTAGTGAAGGTGGTTTGGGGATTGGATCAACTGTGAAGTTGTTTCAAACGCTTTAAAATCCGTGCACAGCGTGTTCTCGGGTTGTTTTCCCCGGCTGGACGCGATCACCATGCCAAGCGGCATCGACGTCGTGGCGCTCGGTGCGCGCAAGCGCGTGCGCTGGCCAGCCGGAGCTGCCCATGCTCTGGCCGCATCACTGGCCGCCTCGGGCTGTCGCCGCGCGGAGCCATGGCTGCCCGACTCGCCACGTCGCGCTGCCCCCGCCTGCTACCGTTGCCGTGCATTGCTGCTGCCCTCCGTGCCATGCCATGACAACGCCGCTGCCGCTGCCGTCACATTGTTGCACTGCGCTGCGCTGTGCTGCGCCACTGGCCCGCCTGGACGCTGCACGCACGAGTCTGAACCACCGTCGCCATGCCATTTATGGCACTGCAGCGCGCGGGCCACGCCGACCTCGAGCGCGTGTCGTCGTCTAGTGCCGGCCATGGTCGCTCCGGTCGCGTCAACCGCGTCCCGCCAAGCAAGCACAGGCCAAACCTTGACTACATCCCCACCGTCTCCCGCCCCTCCCCTGTCCTCTTCTTTGCTGCCGCCACCGAGCCGCGCCAGCCCGCCTGCATGCGAGAAGCCATCCCCCATCAATTCCATGTGCCTACGCCTGCGCTCTCATCCTCTCGCTGCCCACCCCACCCAAACTTGAACCGTGCA